GGTGGTCTGCGGACATTTAAATGGAGGTACGAAGGTCAGTCGTCAAGTAACTTGAAGTTTGGTTCAGAACTAGTAAATAAAATTAAAGAGCCTAGTAATGAATCTTCCTAGCTCCCATATAGAAACTGAAACTATTTTTTAAGTTTGCTTAATGAAAAAACGAATTGAATGAAATTATTTATCAGGCCAAAGCTTCTCATATGGTGCCAGTTTGTGCCAAGATTATTTGCGAAAATATTTCCTAAGAAGATGTTCTTTGAGTTTCTACACCTATTTTTAATAATCTGATTTGTTACCTCTCTTGACTATGACTAGCCACAGTCTGGAAATGTTGGAAAATGATTTTTCCATGATCTGAGTAATTTTGAAGGTTCTAAGATAAAAGTTTAAATTTCAGATCTGATGAATGTGGGATAGTTTTGCATTTTACCTTCACAAGACATTATGCTCTACTTGACGAAATTCCCTAGAGTTCAGCAAAACATTTTTAATTATGCTGGCATCCGAGCTCTTGGGTGATAAATGAATAAACCTAAACCCAGATTTGTGAAATGTAAAGATCTCCCAAGCACAGAGCGTGGTTATAAACCGCTTACGTATTTCGATTCGTAGATGGTAATAAAGAAGGCTTGTTTGTCTTCTAAAAACCAATCCTTTTTATACAAAATCTCTTTCGCAAATCACGAAAACTATTTCACGTCGACGCAAATTAAACACATTTTTGGGAAAATCACTTAACTAAGCTAAAAAAGATCACTAATTTAAATTTTTATGAAACATGGTGAAATTAGAAATCAAATTTTGGTGGTCGGAAAGAATATGGTACCTTCACGTAGCTGTCATAATTGATTACCTTTATGCTAAGTAAAAAACTGGAGTTTCTTATCCAATTTTAATGGGTAAAGAATAGATTTATCGCAGCATAAAACAGCATTAATGATTTTGTCTGTGTCTATAACAGACATTATAAGTTTCAAAGAGGGTGGGAAGGAGATCAGTACCGTTCTCTGAAGGGGAAGCCGACCAATTCAACAAGTTCAGCAACTGTTTTAGGAGTACAATGATTGATGACGAAGAAAGATCTTCGAAGTCGAATTGTCATCAGTGATTGGAAACGCGGATATCACATGGTTCAGCCAATGACGTAGAAACAAAAATTCGGTCTGGATAAACGCTCAGCGTAGTTTTTCATAAGGGAATTTATTCATTATCAACTTCGTCGGAGAACTAGCATCGCTCTTGCTAGTTGTCGATAGATGAAATATGTGACGCATTTTTCCACAGGTTTTGTTTTTGGACGATTTATCGTAGTTTTTCTTCTATAAACACAGTTCACTATTTCGTTTGCGCAGTAATTGGAAACCGTCTAAATGAAGCAAAGGCTGGTAAAGCAAAAAATTACCGTTGAATTCCATTCATCAGGAAACGTTGGGTTCGTTGTACGAGATGTCCACAGGTCCACTAGTTTGTGGTGCCCATTTTGAGAAAAAAAAATTAACATCTGTCATTTTCACTACATTTGAAATCACTTTCCATTGTTAAATTTTTAGCACATTAAAGTTAGACGTTGCAGTAGACTGGGATCCACGAGACTTTCTTGACTTTGTACAAGGCGTTATATACAAAAACCGACACGTCATTCCTAGTTCCAAATCGAAAGCACCTGATCTCACTACAGGATGTTGTAATCACATCTTGGCCCTTTGTTAAGCGGCTAGCTTAGTTCCAGGCTAGACAGTCAGCGTTTAGCCCACCTTAGTGACTAAGAGAGATGGGCGTAGTAAAATTTAATAAAGGCTGACCTCATGATATTCATTTACAGCAGTACCTGGACAGCCTCTCAAAGCAAATTAGCCATCGAGGAGTCTGCGATTAGGCCAGGGCAATTTTTCAAGGCGTGCGTCATCACATAAAGGTTGGCCATCACCTAAAGGCATGGGTTGCTCAAGCTGCAGAAGCACATAAACTCACTCATTGCGATTTCAAATAACGCATAGTGGAAATCGGTAAATAAAACTACTTGAAACCACACTTTTCAATATTTCAATGGTCTTTTCATTATCGAGTCGTTTGAGATTTGTCTCAATACATTTGTGCAGCCACAGGCAAAACTGGAGTTCGTGTGGGCCATCAATAACTTTCCAATGGGTTTTAATAAGCCAAAGTATAAGTTCACTTATCAACGAAGGCTGCTGTACTGATTATGTTCATTGACCGAATCTCCGTGAAATGAACTGTAGTTTTGACAAAATTCCGACTCTACTAGAGCGAAACGCTACTTTTAGAGGGCTTTACGTTTTATTTCATGAGGCAGCTCATCGACGGCCCAGTGATTACCCATTACTATACCCACTAAAACATCGTTCTAGCAGCATAAGTTCGATTACGGAAAGTAACCCCAATCACCATCGGATGGCTGATGTGATTAAAACTGTGTATTCTCAAGGCGGATGTCTTTCCAAACCAATATCTTTAAAGTCCATTACAAAAATCATACTTTCAGCAAACCTGACACAAATGTTAAAACAATAACATGGTCGTAAGCAGGCTTTTGACCATGTGTTCGTAGTACAGAGCTTCAAGGCAGGCGGTCCTTTGTGCACAAAACTGGCATCGTCCAATCAGAAGTGGGTAATCCAGCTGATTCGTCCAGAAGCCGAATTTTACACTGTTAAGAGAAATTGGAAAGACGATTCATGCGCCTTATTACGCCGTGAGGTTAACAGCAAGTGGAAGTGTGGTTCGAGGGAAAGGACGCTGCCTCGGCCTGGCTAGCAGGGTGCGTCAGAACAAACCACAACAATTCAGTGGATGCACCGATGGTGGAATGGCGCTATATGTAGATTTAGATTTACTCTTAGAAAATAACTGAAATCCTTCACGTGTGAAAGCCCAAACGCCTGAATACCAGTATGATGTATTTAGCGTATAGCATTAATAATAAGCTACAGAAATAAGCGAAAGAATGGCCTGATTTGTACATCTAAGCGCAAAAGTCAATTTTTTCTGAATTTCTTGCGGTGCGCATAGCCACCTCTAAGTTATGGCATACTTTAAATTCTCCATCAACTTAGATCTGTTTAAACGGGATTGAAATCCAAAAAATCTATACAAGAGCGTCACTGTAATCTGCAGAAAGGTTGACATCGCCGGTTACAGGATCAATGAGCCTACTTTTCTCTGAATCTCGGGGTGATCGGAATTTCATTGAAATGAACACATTCAGGATAGGGTTCGGGAGGTCACTTTTATTACAGATGTGGTAGTCAGACGACGACTTACAACTTACAACTCCATTAAAAATGACAATCTAGTTTACTTCATACGTGAATATTTGGCACCATGGACTGCATGTGCCCAAATCGGCTGACCTGCATATCCGTTCTGACTTAAGCCATGCGAAAGCAATTAAAGTTTCCAGAACGAGAAGTAAACTCACATTTCTTGAACTTGTGAGGTGTGGACTTGGGATCGGAATGATGCCTCTTTGGCAACAGCCACCGGTGATATAATATCCAACACTAAAAGCACCATCTACAGCGGCTGCATTGATTATAAGTCAATTAGGTGAACAGATAAAATGGAAAGTTGTCTTGACTTATCTTAGAGAAAAGGTTTATTATAAAGTTCTGTAATAAACTTGTTCCCAAGATGTAAAATGACTCTAGTTCTAGAAAATAAGCTTACATAACACAGCAATGCTCCCAAAATACTGCTAGAATTACTCTTATTAAATTACCCACAAGAAGGAAGTAATCAAACCTCTTTATTTCCTAATGCTATTATCCCCGACATTTAGTTTAAAATTCACCAAACTTTCAGCAAAATCGAATTCTTTATTTGCATAACTACGTTAATAATGAGTACAGTCACCTAAAATACAAGTAAATTAGTGGGGTAAGCTAAACACCAGATGGGTGCCAAATGATCTTGGTTACTCATCGGTCGCGGTGGCAGAATAGCTAATTTGGCTAGCTCGGTCTTTGAGCCACCCGGCTTAAAAACAGACGTAAAATTCAGTTGGTGTTTACACGGCCTAATTAGCTCGTCTCGTAATCCTGGGCGTGTAAGGGAGGGGGTGCGGGAGGTGGGTGGGGTGCGTCAGGAGCCACGTGTGTTGCTGGGGCCACCTGTCGCATATCCCGTAGACGTACAGACAGGCAAGCCTGCACGCGAGCGGACGCATGGGCGCGGACACGTGCATTTGCTCTCGAGGTTTTAGTGGGGCAGACAAGCAAACCAATTTGTCGCAAGCATATGTGCCTGAGCGAGTGAACACCTTTGACTGAGTGTCGAACACATGCCACTTCTTACGGGCCTTATCACATGTGGGTCTCAAGTTATGCTTTGTCTATTGTTTTAGTTCTGCTGCTATTTGCCATGTAGAAAGCCTAAGATCTTAGGACTTAAGTCGTAAGCAAACACACTGGCAAGGTTTCAAACAGTAGATTCACCATAATTATTATACTGGTTAATTTGTACCCTCAATTTGCCACGGTGAGATTTAAAAGTGTCCAGACTTGCCTATTTTTAAATATGCTTAGCCGAGGTCGGAATTAATAAGATTGAAGTATAGAAATGCTAATTTTTTACATTCAGTTAACGTGTATTTACTCAAAACATGCAAGTTGCGATTTTTGCCAGATTAGTCGTTTTTTAAGAAAAACCGAAGTTCCGTTAAAATTCTTGCTGGCTTTGTCTAAAAACCTGAAAATCAATCCTTAGGTGATATATTGCACCCTATTCAAATGTTAACAATTCGGCACCACGTATTAAAGTTCCGGCATTTATTTAAATGCGAAAAACGGCACGAAAGACGCATTTTCGAGCTTATTAACCGCCATCACCATCAAATTTGTGCACAACGTCGTGTTTGTCCGTCACTGAAGGTAATTGAGTTAGTGTCGCACAATATTGCATTGGGCATTAAGCGATCAGATAACATACCGCTTCTTATTTTAGGCTGATTTCTCTCAATGGCAAAGCATTTGCTCAGTTCAATGTCTTTTTTCCTTCTAATCGCTCAAGTTCCCGCCTTATCACCCAAATTGAATAGCCTGCAACATCTGACCTATTTTGTATCGGAAGAGGTACCGAGAGGTACCCGAGTGGGAAACGTCTTTAATGACATCGCTGAAATGCTCGGCACGTATACGACGACGAAGGACACATTGCCAGTAAATCTGATGGTCACGAATTGGCAGGACCTCGGTCCACAGCACTTTGCCATTGATTTAACCAGCGGCTATTTGATCGTGAGCTCAAAACTCGACAGAGAGACACTGTGCCCTAATAGTGGTGTCCCCGTACCATCAAGAGTTCCATACCCTAATAGAGGCAAAGGAGACAGTCATTCAATGCCAGAAAAAATTCATGCTCCGGAGGCTCCAGATAGGCCCTGTTCTCTCACACTTCGCGTGGTTTATACACCCGAGAATACTGAAGGTGATCCAGAGGACCCTCTTTTGCTGACGATACGCATAATTATTACTGACATCAACGACCAAGTTCCAACTTTCCCCCAGACCCGGATCAATCTTGAACTCGGGGAGATATCCGCAGTGCCTGGGGAGACAACAATAAACCTCCCAACAGCAAGCGACTCTGACGCAGGCTCTAATGGGACCCTCTCCTACTGGCTGGAGCACTTGATTCCTCCTTATGGAATGCAGCGTTTCAACTCAACGGAGTTTCCTTTTCGCTTGGAAGGTCTTGCGGATGGGAACCCACTGCGATTGAGGTTGATTCAACCACTGGATTACGAAAATGTGAAATCATACGAGTTTGTACTGTGTGTTGAAGACAACGGAACACCAAATCCGCTTAGTTCACGTCTAGGAATCCACCTTGACGTGTTGGACGAAAACGACAACGCTCCGACTTTTTCAAAATCAAACTACTTCATAATAATAAACGAATCACTTCCAAGGGGAAGTGTGCTGCTGGATTTACATGCACAGGATTTCGACAGCGGTCAAAATGGATATGTGAGTTATTTTGGACTGAAACCCCAGCAAAACCTGATGTATCACGAAAAAATTGTCATGGTTACCTCGTCTGTTAGGAGTTTACATCATTTCATTGCAGATAATTGATGATAAAGTTAGAATAAATGGGGATCGAATGGTATAAACAATTAAACGTATAAAACCACTGTTTTTTAAGGATGCACAAGAACCTAAGAGTTGTAGATGTCGTGATTTATGATGATACAAGTATTTGGATTTAACACAGAGCACTGCCTTTTGATTATTTATGCAGACTAATAAAGAAATCGGGCTAAATGACACTGCTCAATTATGACGCAAGGTCAGAATGTTTACCGAAGGCCGCAGCATTTCGCTTTCTTTTGCTTAGATTGTTAAGATACACTATCCAAGATGCAAATCAGCTCCAGAAAATGAATAATTGTAATGGATAGCCACATTTGATGTGCCGAACCACTGCCAAATGCTGTCAGCATAAAAAAATGCTGACGCCTCCTTGCCGCCCGTGGGAGATTGATCAATCTCTTGCTTATGACAATATTTATCGACAGAAATCGAGTGATTAAATAATCAGATTTTTTTGTATAATCAGTTACCTAAACCAATGTCGACCGTCTTATACTTCCTGATGTAGTATGATTAATACCCAAAGCAATATGAATTAGATATTTACAAGGAACACATGGTTGTAACGCATTTCAGGATTCTGAAACATTGAACTAACCTAAGGATTGTCTTAGTTGCTCTCAGCTATGTTAAATATTGAACTTTGCATAATAATAATAATAATCGTCATCGCCACATCAAAAGGTAGTAATATGTAGTCTCTACAGGTTAGGCATGGCCTAAGTCGTCTCAAATGCAGAGGACGAATAGGGTTGCTAATTTTGGTTAGAGTGCTGTCTACTAACGATGTCGAAGGTGACATCTTCCGTAGTTTCTTTATTAATTAATCCAAAGTGTGCTTTTAGCTATGGCACTGTCTGATAAATTTGGGTAGTCAGATGAAGCCAAAGCGCCATAAATATGAACTAAAATTTCATGTTTGATAGGACCAGACAACCATTTGGTCTACTTTACTTGAATTATACCAGACATTTTGTGAGCCATGTGAACAGACAGAATATCTCATTGTTAAAATAAAACGCTTTGAGCATAACTGTAAACAGTGCTGAAAGGTCCTCGAAACACCAATTAAACTTAAAAGTAAACCTGATGGCTGCAAGAACACATGTTTCTCATCCAGTCCAAGCAGCCCTCGCCATAGGTCTTCGGAGCACACTAGCGTTTCGTACAAGCGTTTGCTGTACAAAATTTTTGCTTGGATTCTGTGTTTTTGTTCGGTTACATGTTTGCACACACATTTTCAGTGTCACAACAGTGTCGTTTTCGTGTTGCCCGTTTATTAACCAAAACTCTCTTTGCACATTCACACGACCCAACTCCACGAGTATCCACATGCGCAAATACTGCTGCTTTACCTGTAAAAGTTTTTTCTCCGAAAGCTTAGCAAGCTCTTTTGCTGTCTAACGACAGCAATTTTTCGGGAAAATAACTTCAGGTTTAACTCCCAAAAAGCCAAATCTGTACAATTCTAAGAAATGCTGAGTTTAGCTCAAAGTTATCTAAGTTCATGAAATAAATGAATAGATGAACGTAATAGTTAACGTTACATAGTTAACCAAATTTATAGCTCCGCAAGTGATCCAATATTGTTTTACCTGATCTATTGGTTCAAACGTTTGGTGAATTAAATCAGGCAGTAATTGTTCGGAACTACAATATACACTCGTTTTTTGTGTTTTGGATTTTGGTGTTATTTAATCAACTGGAAGGTAAAAGTAAAATTTTAAAGATATAATTCTGCAAATGCTACCAGTAGGGTCTATCTTATTTCACAACTTATTTGCTTCATGTAGGTTGAAACAAATGTTTTAAGTTCAGGTTGCTTAAACAATCTTTTTAAGGTACTCAATGTCGGTTTTGTAGAGGCTTAGGTACTGATTTACCCTCTACTTCATCCAAAGATTCATCACTTTCACTCTACCTCATAAAATTGATCCTTACTCTTCACGCAACCTAATATTATGTGCTGGCAATCGGAGCCCTAACTAAAACTTATAAGCCTAGAAGTCGAGAAAATGATTATTTCCACCTCATCGTGTCATTCTTTAACCATCTGAACAAATTGATGGACCTGATTTAGTACACAACGGTGCACCTTTCGCACATATTCAACCAGCTGGTAGCAGATGGCAACATTGTGCTCAAAGCTGAGCATTCTATAACATGAAACGCACGATTCTATGAAGTTAGTTTAAATAATCTGAGTAATGTTATACTCTGCCACATCACTCAAGTTCCAATCTCAAACACCTAATCGTGTCATGCGTATGTGCGTGAAACTGGTCCTACTGAGTTAATTGGGGAGTGATCAACCTTGGCAAAAAAAGCATCCCTAACGAAAAAGGTTTAGTTGGAGTTTAAATTAAATTTAGCCAGAAATTCTTCTCAAAATTTTAAGAAAAAATTATTGCTGCAGTTTTATTGAATATTTAGTTAAAAATTGCTTTTAAGAACATTCCTATGACTTGATTTTAAAAAAATAGCAAATGCGCCACATTCAGTGGAAGCCAATTTTTGTCGATGCTTCACCCGAAAGGTGGCATTAAGAAAGTAGACAACTAACCAATTTCAGTAGAATTGTTATTCGAATGTACCTTGGAACTTCAATCACTCGGTTAAAATTGTCATCGCAAATTACTTTTGGGTCTAAATGGAATTTGTAATCCAGCGTCTATTTGAATGCTGCTTATGAAAGGATATATAAATTAAGCATGTGTTTTTATCAATTAGAAACACTGTTTGTGGGGCAAACAAAACTTGTAAGAGAAAAAGTTTTGCACTGCTACTTTTCCTTAACTAAAAGTATCGGTTCAGCATCATTTTTGATGGCATCTTTTTGCCACTGTCTTTGAAAGCACATTTTGGGAGTCACCTCTTCTTCTTTAAATCCTGCCTCCCTAACGTGTTTGAATGCATCGCATGCACACCTACTCAGGTAAATGCATTTACACTTGGAAGATAGCAGCTATTTATTCCCACCCAAAGTCGTAAAGTTTCCCCTTTCTATTTACACGCGTACAAAATTAATTCAAAATGTTAGCAGAACAGACAGTTGTCGTTTTTAACATCGCCCAGTGTTTTCCGACTCCGACTAAACACCATGCACACCCATCGTTGTCGATTAATTCAAGGAGCAGTAAGTTCAAAATGAAAAAAACCCAAGTGCACACCGCTAGTTCTAAAACAGCAACAGCTGCTGATCAAATGAAGCCTCGTCTGAAATAATGGTCTTAGTGCCATATTTGGGTGTTATTAAAACACCGAGACCAGAAAGGAAGGTTTGCATTGGAGATTCGTGTCACGTCGTGGCCTAAATCCAAGGTAAAATCTGAATCTATTACAAAGCATTTTCAAATGCCACACTGTAAAGAGCACTTCAATACTTTTAACATGGACGAGGAGTGAAAATCAAGCCTGTACAATACGTGTGACACCTCGAGTTTTACATGAACGATTCCAGCAAATCTTTCACCATGGTAATGACTAATATCGGGTTATTTCTTTCGGTTTGGAGCATGTTCTAAGAACGGAAGCGGGTGAAATTTATATTTTATTTTATATATTTATTTTGCTGCATGAGTTGGAGAATCAGAGCCACTTTTAACAAAATGATTTACCTCTTCTTTTAAACCTCCTAAGCTGTCGTTTACATCAAGC